AATGAATAAAATAAGATATTTTGGCTGATCAAAAAAGTTAATTAGATTACTATAGATACCTTCACATTTTTGGAGGCTAGTGATGTTGAAAACTTGTAATTATACTCAGTATCTATTAGTTAGTTGGTTCTACATTTCTACCTTATGAAGTTATGATATACAAAGTATGGACAAAATATCGTCAATCTGAAATTAAAATACACGATATGCAAAGCATATAGTAGAGTAATTTTAAAAGTTACATAAATTTTAAAAAGTTTAACAAAACTATGATTTTTTCTAGAGATAATTACTAAAACAACTTTGGAAAGTAGGTTAATTATTAGAACAATTTTTATTCAATTTTGAAATTCAACGCAAGTTATAAAAGATAACAAGTTTTATTACGAAAATGTCATTAATAATGTATTAAAAAAAATAAATCAAACATTTGTTTAAAACCGCGGTCGTGGAGGCTGCGAAAGCACCTGATCGTGCTCGGCGGAGGTGTGGAGCCTGCGAAAGCACCGAGATTTAGGTAAAAATCGGATTAAAAATTAAAAATTGAAAAAGAACTCAAAATCTTTTGATTTTTTGTTAGAAAATGGATATATGATGTTAGATCTACTAGTTTTAGGCAAAATTCAGTTGAAAACGAGTTAAAATATAGTAAAAACGATCTAAAAAGTGGCTGACCGCCATTGTTAGGGTTTGAGAGAAGTTTGGTGTTGTGGAGAAGATGAAGGGTAAATTACGATTTTACACTTTATTGAATAAATCTACCATTACTATAAATAAGTCTACTACTACTATAAACAAGTCTACCACATATTAGAAAATCTACCACTACCACGACTATAAATAAGTCTACCACATATTATAAATCTACCACTACTATAAATAAGTCTACGATTGCGCGAACAATCAGTAAGTCTAACGATCACAAAATTAACTCTACCACTACTAGAAATAAGTCTACCACATATTATAAATCTACCACTACTATAAATAAACCTACCACTACTATAAACAAGTCTAAAGTTGTTTTAGTAAAAAAGTAAAAATAATTGAATAAATCTACCATTACAATAAATAAGTCTACTACATATTATAACTCTACCACTATTATAAATAAGTCTACGATTGTGCGAACCATCAATAAGTCTATCGATCACAAAATAACTCTACCACAACTACAAATACGTCTATCACTCAAAAATAAATCCACCACTACTATAAATAAGTATACGATTGCGCGAACCATCAATAAGTCTACCGATCGCAAAATTAACTCTACCACCATTAGAAATAAGTCTATCGATCATAAAATTAACTTTACTACTACTACAAATAAGTCTACCATATTTTATAAATGTATCACCACTATAAATAAATCTATTATTGCGCGAACCATCAATAAGTTTACCGATCACAAAATTAACTCTACCACTACTACTAATAAGTCTATCATTCAAAAATAAATCTACCACTACTATAAATAAATCTACGATTGAGCGAACCATCAATAAGTCTACCAACCACTTAATAAATCTACCAATCGCAAATAAATCTACCATCACATGAACGGTAGACTTATTCACTGTCTCATTAATGCCAGTTTTGTAAATATATTTTTTTCTTAAGAAAATAAAATTAAAATATATATTAATAGTTTTTTAAGATTGCTGAGTAATTTTTAAAGAATAGCATTTTGGTCAAAATCAACTTTCTAAAATTGTTTTAGGAAAGGTCTGTTTTTTTTTATTCAAGTAACTTTAATATTTTAATGGACCAGCCTTGTAGTGTCAAAAAGGAAATCAATTTGAACCGATGCTTGAATGAAATCGAATACGGCGACGTAGCTCAGCTCTTTTCCACCCAAATAATCCATTTGGTGTCACTTCACTCACTCTCTCTCCAATGGACATAAAATGAACATTCTCCGACCACCGACTTCATCGTCGTCGTTTCCGACATACCCAAACTCCGGACCACTAAACCCTCCGGTGAATTTCACTCTCTCCCACAACCCCATATCCCTCTTCTCAATCAACCCACCATTCACCGTCGCCGGTCGAACCACGCGCCGTCCATTTTTCGTACGGTCCGCTTCCGGCACTGCTAACAGCTCAGCCGGAGACCTCTCTTCGTTCTTAGGCTCTCCCGGAGAAGCTTATTCAACACACAACGACCAAGAGCTTTTATCTCTCCTCCGCAATAGAAAAACCGATGAAGCTTGGGCTAAGTATGTTCAATCCACACATCTCCCTGGTCCTACTTGTCTTAGCCGTTTAGTCTCTCAATTGTCTTACCAATCCAGACCCGAGAGCCTCACGCGCGCTCAATCTATCCTCACGCGCCTCCGCAATGAACGCCAGCTTCATCGCCTTGATGCTAACTCTCTCGGCCTTCTCGCCATGGCTGCAGCGAAGTCCGGCCAAACCCTTTACGCGGTCTCCGTTATCAAATCAATGCTCCGTTCTGGGTACTTGCCACACGTTAAAGCTTGGACAGCTGCAGTAGCTAATCTCTCAAACGCCGGAGACGATGGACCGGAAGAATCTATCAAACTATTCATCGCTATCACGCGGCGAGTCCGACGTTTCGCTGACCAATCTTTGGTAGCTCAATCTAGACCTGATACGGCGGCGTTTAACGCGGTGCTCAACGCTTGTGCAAACCTTGGTGATACTGAGAAATACTCGAAACTGTTTGACGAAATGTCTAAGTGGGATTGTGAACCTGATGTGTTGACTTACAATGTTATGATAAAGCTGTGTGCAAGGGTTGATAGGAAGGAATTGATTGTGTTCGTCTTGGAAAGGATAATTGAGAAAGGGATTAAGCTTTGTATGACTACAATGCATTCACTTGTTGCAGCTTATGTTGGGTTTGGTGATTTGAGAACTGCAGAGAGAGTTGTTCAAGCGATGAGGGAGAGAAGGAGAGATCTTTGCAAGGTTCTACGAGAATGCAATGGCGAGGATTT